TCCTTTGCATCTCACGTTACACCAAAAATTTACTTATGAAAATGATTCGAGGGGACATTTCCCCTGACTATTATATCAACTTACCATTTAAAGTTGGTTTGGCCCAACCTAATATTGGTCGTTGGCAATTAATTTAACCATTTTAGTAAAAACTCATTCGGTTAGTGTGTCAACATACATATATAGAATTTACTATTGGGGAGAATATACTCACGTTGAAGAAAGAATAATCACGTCAAAATACGGAAAAGTGGATTATAGTCACTAAATGAAGTCATCAAAAAGACGTACAGCTAGCAACGCAATTGTTTATCTTCAACCGCAGACATAGTTTGTTTCCGAACGCTGATGGCAATGTTTACTTTAAAACATCTCTCTGGCGTAATGAACAGTTTGGATATGCAACAACAAAGCAAAATAAGAAGAATTCTTAAATCTTAAGAGACGGATTATTTAACAACTTTCCTAAATTTGGAATGCAATCAGATGTCCAATCAACGTGAACCACGAGATTTTCTCACACAATAACGATTAAACCCCCGCGGGAAAGTTGGCGCTGTTGCATAATGACAATGTCAGAAGGATCTCCTTCGTTGCTAACAATTGCCGCTTACCAAGCGCTGTTCCTATTCACTGGCTTCTATCAGTCGCTTGGCACACAGTACCTGTACTATCAGGGAGCTGCTAGTGAGTATACTTTTTTTGTTTATTGGATGGTAATATGAGGATTGACTAAGACGTTTTTGTTAATTTGACATGTAGCTGGCACCAGGTAAAAAGAGGTCACTACAATACAAATGATATGTTCCTTTCTGATGCTCACACTCTCTTCTACTCCTTCGTCAGTTTACTCACAAACGTGTCGGCAAGCCTTGGTGCAGCATTAGTGGGGTTGTTACTAATACCAGACTGGTTGGCGAGAAAGTGGGGACGTGTCCAAGATGGGTACGAGGCAGTAGACAACCAAATCGACATGGTGGATATGAATCATTTAAAGGTTTCATGTCTCATGTATATTCTCTTTCCTGCTTGATCTATCTATAGAAACTACTCGCTCTACTTACTATTCACAAAATCCATTATTCATTGCGATCACTTTAGACGCAGACTCGGAAAGACTATCAGCTTGTGCCAGATGACATTGACGAAAATGTAAAAGACACCGAAATGTTAACAAATAGTAACCAAGAGCTAAAAGGCACGAACGAAAATGTAAAAGTCATTGACGAAGATGCGAAAGATGCGAAAGATGCGAAAGATGTTGATTCTACCGATCGTTCATCGGAACAGTTGAAAGAACATGTTAATTACAAAGCCATTGTTGGTGTAGCAACCTTAGATGCATTAGGCAACTATTTAACTACGATTGCGTTTTTCTACATTGGAAGTGGAGTGAGTAGTTAGGCGTCTGTCTACAGATGTTATGTTGTCTGCATAATCCTATTGCCAGTTTTGCTGTGTATAGGCTCATCTACTCATGTATTTTTTCCACTCTTGCCCAAGTGTAGATGTTCCAAGTGATATACAGCTCTGTCGTAATATGGTGCGCCATTCTTTCGTTCATCTTTCTAAAACGCAACCTATTACTAGTTCAATGGCTATCCATTATAGGAGTATCACTTGGACTCGGTCTTAGCGCGTTGGGAATCAAAGAGTCTGTTGAAGTGGCACCCGCAGAGGAAACACCGGCTGATGATCCAGATTCTTCCATAACATATTACCTGTCTTCTGCACATTCGACAATGTTCGGGGCGGTCTTGGCTATGATTTCTACGTTCGGTTATGCGTGTATTTATGTCATCTCCGATAGGATATTATCAGAACGAGTTCCCAACACAACACCGCCATCTCCCGAAAAAACTTGTTTCCTTATTGGCAGCTGTAGTACAATTTTATCCACAATCTATATATTGTTTTATACTATACCAAATTGGGATACGCTTGTAGTCGAAAAGATGAAAGAGAGAGAACCGCATGCGAGCACACCAGTTATATTGATTATATTCGCATTCCTCATATTTAGTTCTTTACTGCATAATCTAGCATATTATTGGCTGGTGAAGCATACGGGAAATGTGTCCACCGGACTACTGAATTCTCTGAGGGCGATTGTTATATTCATTCTGAGTCACTGGTTATTCTGCAATCAGGACCGCGGGCAATGTTTTAATTACTGGAAGGGTGTTAGCGTGGTGGTGGTTGTTGGATGCGTTGTAACCTTTTCGCTTAGTAAGAGAGCGACAGCACACGACTAACATTATAGTATTAATTAAAAAAGAATGGATTAGTAATAGACACACGTCTAATCCCAATAGTATCACAAACCGTTATACAATAGACGTTGGGGGGAGGGTGGTGGCATGCAAGCCTTTACGAAAAGGCTATTACACTTCAGTATTTTATAATTCATATATGTTTGTCTCTACACTGAAATAAAAATCGTTGCATCTATACATAATCATGGTTAAAACATTTGCAAATGCAACTGAAACACAAAATCATCTAATTGAACACATGAGTATGTCTGCTGTTTATTGACGTTTTCGAAAATCGTACAGATATGCCATTCCCAGTACTAATGAAAGTTGAGTCCCATTCGATCCGATCACCACCAGTCTCGTTATATCAACTTAGGGTTGATTTCTTGGATATGTTACACGCATACGATATTTAGCATAAAAGTTATAATTTCAAATGTTGCGCGTTTCGATGATGTCTGACCCAGTTTTTTTTATTATAGCGCAAGTCGAACAATTGACAACAATTGTCACGTGAATACGTATTGATTGGTTCATTGTTTACATCACTCGATTTTTTGCGTCACGTCAAGCAGGAAAAGTATTTTCGTTTAAACACACGTGGGTGCCTTGTTACCTATAACTTTAAACAGCTTAAACTGGGCTTTAGCGAGCACCTTGTTGTGAATAAAAGTTCCTCGTGATAGTTACCTATAACTTTGATCCTTCAGAATGAACAATTGTGGAGGAACTCAACAAGTGGTTCTTGTGTCCATAATAATAAGAGCAATTTAGATAAATCACCAGAGTAAAAAATAAAACGTAAGGCGCCGACTGGCCTCGAAAAAAAAGGCTCTTTGTATTAAAGGAATAAACGCAACACTGCTCATAATATTCTTACAGAAAAGAAATTGGTTAGCCTTAGACAAAAAGTTTACCGCTTGCTAGTTCTAAGCGCCGTACGTAGAACTGGGTGGGAGGGTTTCCTACCGTTGAGTCAGCACTCGCTTTGTGGCTATACGTCATGAACAAATTTTTATTAGTTTATATGTTAAAGTACAAGGATTTGCTGACAGAATGAGTATTAATGACTTCAAAGTTTCAAAAACACGTTACAACTTAAGTCAATTTGCTCGTTAAGGTGAAGGTAAATTTTGCGCCTCTGGAGGATTTACCACATTTTCGCAACGAACTACAACAATTGCACCTTTTTATCGCCTGGATTGTTTAAAACACCAGCGCACGGAACCGAGTAACGACCGAGACAATAGCACACGCTTGGTAAAACGTGTATCCTACCCGCAGTCATCGAAATGAAGGTGCTAATTCGACAAATTCAGTAGTATTTCAGCAGAATTCGACCAATTAAGGACCGATCAGTATTTTTGAGATACTGAATACCGTGTACTGTATGTGTTAAATATGTTTATTTGTTTACGACAAGGAAGTTTGTTTTTTTTTTGACATACTGTAAATATTGATCCCACATTATTTATTTGTTGACTCAGCTTCAGCCAATACCATCAATTACGTAATGTAAACTTTTTCTTTTTCTTGTGTAAACCTCTTTTTATTATCTTTGGCAATGATGACAAAAAACCGTCTTCCGAATTTAAAGTATATAGTAAATAGTAGCCAGTAGCCAGTAGCTGTTGCTATGGCGGCCGCAAAAAAATGCTTGTCGAATTATATAAAAATTTTTGGTAAAATATTGCCCGCAACAATCAAAGCGTTGATTCGCTCAAAACTATATAATAAAGTGCATGTAAGTATATTCGTCATCATTACGGAAATTGATTATAAAATTTTTTTCTTCTCTATCAGTAAAACGAAACTCGCGTACATTACATCAATTCACTGTTATAAACTTTGGCGCTTACTTCATGCCTCTTCACTTTACAGCGACTGACATGCGTTTATCTAAAAATAACCATTTTTATATTCAGGCCTGTTATCGTGTTAAAGCACTTATGAAAATTATATGTGCAACATAAATGCTGTCACTTTCATCGAACTACTACTTTATTACGAAAATACAATCAATTACAGGTAAAACCTGTTTAAATCGGCGGACCTGGTTTGCTGATTTTTGGCCGGTTTAGCCAATGTGTTCGGTTCAGAAAATTGTTCAGCTATAAAAAGTTTTTAATTAATGAAAATTTGGTGTAGTCGTGAGGCGGCCGGTTAAACCCGAAACCGGTTTAATCAGCACCGGTTTAAACAGGTTTTACCTGTAGATACCAAAATTATGTAGGTACGTAGAATAGAGGCCTTTGGAAAAAAAGGATTTTATATGTTTTACTAGTAAAATTTCGTCTCGTACTTATAATTTTGCTAGGGTGTACATAAACATAAACTCTTCATTATTCCCGTGCGGCACAAATAAATTCTGCAAAGTTCTAATATGGACATGATGGCACTAGAACTTCATTAACAAGATTGCATAAGAAAGAAATTTATCCAATTAAATTATTATTGATGATATTATTTGTGAAAGCAGAAGTTGGCTCCGTCATTCAGATAAACACAGACGTTTTAGATTAATCAACATTATAATGATAACATAGAAGTTAATAGAGATGATCTGTTACTCACGCGGCGATGCTGCGTAATATAAAAGAAAAAGGATAATTATATGAAACTAATTTGCTTCGCAGCAATATCAAATTCAAGTAAAATTAACAAGTTTATCGCAAAAATTTTTGTAGCTAACAATTTCTCTCTCGTTATAACGATCAAACCATTCGAACCGGTATAGACAGACTTGACTGCAGAATCTGTCACCATACCAATACTGTATAGCAGAAATCACGTTTTGCAGTAGGTAAACGCAGTATTACAAGGCACCTGCAACACCTACACAAACTTAACTACGCTGGCTTCTCAATAAATGAATCAAATGACGCATCATCGAAGAACGAACAGTCAAACCAATTAAAGATAAGCCACGTAGCTCAACGGTGAAGAAACAAAAATTAATCACAGTCAATTATATTAAACACTGCTGTTACAGTGTTTCATATTTCGAACCTGATTTCCTAATTGTTTGTCATAAATTACCGTCGAGTAGTATGTAAAAGTTATTTGCTTAAAGTATACTAAAAAACAGCGCAAAATTGCAGTACTTATTCCTCTGTTATATATGGACACCAAGGAACACCATATGTTTGTTTACTGACAAAGTAGCATCGAAGACACATGAATTAAGTTGATAGTAACTTTACACGAAAAACGAGTCTTGATTAATTTATTAATAAGCACTAGGATTTCGTTTAGCACATCGTGCGGTTTTCAATATTATATATTGCAGTATATTGTATCCGCGGCCAATAACACCCATGGTTCTCTCACACAACACATATTTGGTGTATGTACTTTGTGTGTACCTTTATTATTATATAGTAATAGTAATGGATTTAATCAATTGTCGTACAAAATTAAATTGTAGCCATAAAATCATGTTAATGTGTACTGTTTGGGTGTTACTATTACTATTACTATTACTTATTATACTACAATCACAATCCATAGCGAATTACTGTATATCATGCATAAAACTATTTTGGGATTTTTTTTGGAAAAACATGAAAAAGCAGTTCTAGGAGATGCCGTTGCTCAAAATCATCTTGGTATGTGTTATGAAACTGGAACTGTAGTAGAGAAAGATGAACAAAAGGCAGCTGAATGGTATAAAAAAGCAGCTGAACAAGGAAATGCTGATGCACAACTTAATCTTGGTACATGTTATGAAAATGGAACTGGAGTAGAGGAAGACAAACAGAAGGCAGCTGAATGGTATAAAAAAGCAGCTGAACAAGGAAATGCTGATGCACAACTTAATCTTGGTACATGTTATAAAACTGGAACTGGAGTAG